GGAGTAAGTAGAAAGAATAAGGTGAGATTTGGTAATGAGGATTTCACCGTCTCTACAATAGTTTGCGTGGGTTAGGTGATGGCAAATATAGCCAGGTCACAGACTTTTCAGTCAGGGAAAGATCACAGACCAAGTTTCTGTCAAGACCATGATGTTAATGCAATCAACCACAATGTCATGGATGGCAAGGGCTTTGTTTAGCAATGAACTGATTCTGGAGGGAGATTCCAGGAGGGGCAGTGATTGTTGCTTCATTGACTGATTATATGCATGGAATCAGCAGTGGGAGAGATCAGAGGACTGTACAGGAGGATGGCAAGATTAACTTCCAGCAAACAAGCTGAAAGGGAAAGTTGGTGAGAATGCTGATGGGACAATTGGGACTGTGGTTCATTAAAAGGCAGTGATAGGTGCCTTGGTGGGGCCCCTTCAGAGATTGCTAAGCCAAAGAGGAAACTATTGGGCTGACAGGGAGTCAGGTCGTGGAGTAGGGGAAGGTAAAATAGCTAACATGTGGGTTAGGTAGTAAGGAGTTAGGCCAAAACGTTCAAGGGAGAATAAATTAAAATAGGCCTTGGAGTCAATGAAGGATGAGTTGAAAGCTAGAAAAAGTTTCTCTAAGACATACAGTGATTGATTAGCAGAGCAGAATCTCTGCAGCCAATACAACCTGTTAGGGCAGCATAATTCTGATGAATGCAGAAGTTTCCAAGATTGAATAGTACAGTTAACTCGCAAACAAGTAACTGTGAGTACTGAGTAATGGACAAGAACATGGCAAGTTAAACATCAAGCAGGTGAGCAATCACTCAAAAGGTGAACTTGTTCTTATAGTTTGAGCTAAAATGCATCCATTGCTGGAACCAAAACACCTTCAGCTGGAGAAAAAAAGATGGTTAAGGGAGCAAAGAAGGGCAACTGTTATAACCAGAGGAACAGCAAATTACGGCAGATGCTGGAATCTGTGCTGAAAACAAAAAATGCTGGAATCACAGCAGGTCAGCAGCATCCATAGAGATGAAGGAAGCTAATGTTTCGAGACCAGATGACTCTTCATCACAGCTCTGATCAAGAGTCGTCTTAGACTTGACACGTTAGCTTGCTTGCTGTCCATGGTAGCTGCCTGACCTGCTGTGATTTCCAACATTTTTTGTTATAACCAGAGCCCAGACAATGGTTCCCAAGTTATTATTGTTTGAGACAAGATTCCCCAAATTGTCAATCTCCCCAGTGAAGAAGAGTGAATTGGTTCGCTTCTATATTGGCTCGCCCTCTCTGTTGATCAGAACATGATTAATTGCCAAAGGATCCCTCCCTTGTGGAGACCTTTCTCCTTGACTGAATTAATTTTTGTTCTCGAAGGAGCCAATTAAGCTTGAGTTAAAGTGGGTAACTGGCTGTTAAAGGCAAGAAAAGATAGTAACGCAAAAGACATACACACATTAGAAATGAGAAATGAGTGAAAAAAAAGAATAAAAGTTAAAAGATATACATGGACCAATGTCTGTGGGTCATTAGTGAAGTGTAGATGGTGGAACATTGATAGTTGAACAGCCAATTTCAGTATTTTTGACTTTGCGGGTTATTTGAATATTTTTGGTCCCGGTTCCTTTTGACGATGGTTGTCTGACAGCACTCAGATCAAGAAAGTTCTCATTTTGTCGTGTTTGCTGTTGACATAGCTTGCCAGTGAGCTGGATTTTAGTGCTTAGAGCAAGAAAATCTTTAATCTGCAACACAAGGGTGAACCTTTGACTCATGCTCAAACCCTGGCTAATGCACATGGGTACCTCAGTTCAGCAGCACACCTGCTTCCACAGGCATACCCACGCAAGGAGTCTGTTAGTTTTTAACCCCCATTCTTGTGTATTCTTGAACAAAAAAGTTCAAAACATTTCTCTCACCCAAACTGTTGCCTTTTTACCTGCAATGTTCACAGTCTGACATAATTCCTAAGATTACAGCTCAGTTTGTAGTGCATTTCCTCCCTTTGGAGCATCTTTGACTCTTGCAGTTGTGACATTCCAGAGTTCCTCTCTAGACAGACGTGGACTTATATCCACAGTCATTTTGGTTAAATTAGTTTTCTTTATAAAAGCATAAGTTGGAATTTGAAAGGTTGATATGGGCTTGGGTAATCCAGGGCTCTGATCTGGGCTCATTGCCCAGTGAACAGTAAATTATGAACAAAAACAAAGTTGCTGGAAAAGCTCAGCAGGTCTGGCAGCATCTGAGAAGGAGAAAACAGAGTTAACGTTTCGGGTCCAGTGACCCTTCCTCAGAACTGATGGTGACTGGGAAAATGTCAGTTTATATGCAGAAAATAGGGAGGTGGGCGGGGTAGGGAGTAAACGATAGGATAGATCCCAAAGAGAGAGAAAGACAGTTGGACAGACAAAGGAGTTGCTAACGATCAGGCTGGGAGGGTGAATAGTTGTTAATGGGGACTGTTAGTGACTAACAACAGGGGGTGTGTAATGGCAGGCTATGTGGTAACAAGGCCTGGTGTGTGGGGTGGGGGGCTGGGACATGGGAGAGTTGAGGCCCTAAAATTATTGAACTCAATATTGAGTCCGGAGGGTTGTAGGGTCCCCAAGCGGAAATTGAGGTGTTGTTCCTCCAGCTTGCGTTGGGCTTCACTGGAACACTGTAGCAAGCCAGAGAAAGAGATGTTGGCCAGGGAGCAAGGAGGTGCATTGAAGTGGCAGACAACAGGTAGTTCAGGGTCTTTTTTACGAGCAGAATGTAGATGTTCTGCAAAGCTGTCGCCAAGTCTACGCTTCGTTTCCCCAGTGCAGAGGAGACCACATTGTGAGCAGCAAATGCAGTAGACTAGATTGTTGGAAGTGCAGGTGATGTGTTGCTTCACCTGGAAGGTATGTTTGGGCCCTTGGATTCTGGGGAGGGAAGAGGTAAATGGGCAGGTATTGCACCTTCGCCGATTACAGAGGAAGGTGCCGTAGGGCTGTGGGGAGGTGTTGCGGGTGATGGAAGTGTGGACCAGGGTGTCTCAGAGGGAATGGTCCCTGCGGAAGGCGGACAAGGGAGGGGATGGGAATATGTGTCTGGTGGAGGTATCTTGCTGGAGGTGGTGGAAATGGCGTCTGATGATCTTCTGGATGTGGATGCTGGTGGGATGGTAGGTAAGGATAAGGGGAACCCTATCGCTGTTGCGGGAGGGAAGAGAGGGGGTGAGGGTAGAAGTGTGGGAGACGGGTCGGACCTGCTTGAGGGCCCTGTCGACAACGGAGCTGGGCAATCCTCGGTTGAGGAAGAAGGTGGACATTTCGGAGGCTCCCTTGTCGAAGTTGGCCTCATCTGAACATATTCGACGGAGACGGAGGAACTGAGAGAATGGAATGGAGTCTTTACAGGAAGCAGGGTGTGAGGATGTATAGTCCAGGTAGCTGTGGGAGTCAGTGGGTTTGTAATGGATATTAGTGGCCAGTCTATCCCCAGAAATGGAAACAGAAATGTCGAGGAAGGGAAGGGAGGAGTCAGAGATAGACCAGGTGAAAGTGAGGGCAGGGTGGAAATTGGAGGCGAAATTGATGAAGTTTTCCAATTCCAAACGAGAAAGGGAAGCAGCACCAATGATATCATTGATGTATCGGAGAAAAAGTTGTGGGTGGGGGCCGGAATAGGACTGGAACAAGGAATGTTCCACGTACCCCACGAAGAGACAGGCATAACTAGGGCCCATGCGGGTACCCATGGCAACCCCTCTTACCTGAAGAAAATGAGAGGATTTGAAAGGGAAGTTGTTGAGGGTGAGGACAAGCTCGGCCAAGCGGAGGAGGGTGGTGGTGGGTGGGGATGGTTCAGGTCTTTGCTCCAGGAAGAAGCGGAGAGCTCTAAGACCCTCCTGGTGGGGAATGGATGTGTAAAGGGATTGCACATCCATGGTAAAGAGGAGGTGGCTGGAGCCGATAAGCTGGAAGCTTTGAAACTGGCGTAAGGCATCAGATGAATCATGGATGTATGTGGGTAGGGATCGGACCAGAGGGGAGAAGACTGAGTCAAGGTAGGAAGAGATGAGTTCTGTGGGGCATGAGCAGGCTGAAACAATGGGTCTACCTGGACAGTCCTGTTTGTGGATTTTTGGCAGAAGATAGTTTTGGACAGTTTTGGACTTTTTGGACAGTAAATTACTTAACTTTAATTTTTTTTGCAAAAATTAATTGTCCAACAACTATCTTAAAGTTACTAAGAAACAGAAGCAGACATTGAAAGCACTGCAACATATTTTAAATGGCTTCATTTATTTAATCAGAATTTAATCAGTTGGGTTTATTGCAATGCTATTATCAGTGTTGCTTTATAAACAATAAGATTACTGATACCAATGATCTAATGATGGTTGTTGACACTACATGCTCACTTCCAATAACTTCTGATTGCATGCACATACACATGCACAACATTATGCTGATTTCTAAAAGTTAAGTTAAAAATACAAATTGTTTAGCACTTTATTTTATTGTGCTATGTGCTCTTTCATTATTTTTAAATTATTTTTAGTTATTTGTAAGGTATTTGCCACTGTTTTTTACAAATAGGTTAAGAGATATCAGTGCCAATACGCATGCTCCTGGATGTCACAAGCTCAGCCTTTTCTTAATATAATTGAGGCATTCAAAATTTCACGTATTATGGACATTTTTCAGGAACAGCACTCCTAAGTGTGACAGACACTTCCCATGCCTTACAGACATGTTCCACACACAAGTTATTAATTATACAGAGCGTGTATTCACAATAAATGACAAGAATGATATTGTGACAGTTAAAACTAGCACTAAGTTCACAATGAAAGAAAACCATCAGTCCTAAATAATTGCACAGGTGAATACAAAAATGGACCATATCTTGTGGAATTGTAGCATACAATTCTGTCAGCTCCAAAGCCTAATATGTGCTGAGGGAGGATAGTATATGATGGATATACATGTACTAATGCAAAAATAATTTTGTTTTTTATTTACTCGTAGGACATGGGCATCGTTGGCAGGCCAGCACTTATTGTCCATCGTAGTTGCCCTTGAGAAGTTGATGGTGAACTGCCTCATTGAACCGTTGCAATCCACGTGTTATGGGTTGACCCACAATGCCATTAAGGAGGGAATTCCGGGATATTGACCCAGCAACACTGAAGGGACAGTGATATATTTCCAAGTCAGGTTGGTGAGTGGCTTGGAGGGAAACTTGCAGGTTCCAATAATTAGAATAAAATTACAGACTAAAGTTTAAGAAATGTCTTTTCAAACAGATTTAGTCTTCTTATACCAGTTATGTGATTAATGATTTAAAAAGAAACTGATTTTTGTTTTACTACTACAGATCTTTATGCCATTTTGATGGAGTTTGAAATAAGGCATGATGTTACCTCTGGACTCAGGATCCAGAAAAAAAGGTCACGATCATCGGACATGCTGCAGGCCACTTCAGACTGAGGTGAAGAAAAATTTCTTCATTGAGAGGGTGGCGATCCTGTGAAATTCTCCACCACAGGAAGGTATGGAGAAAAAGCCACTGAATAGATTTAAGTTAGAAACAGATTTCTAGAAGCTAAAGATGTAAAAGAGTACGAGGGGAGAGCGGGAGTTCAGAACTTGGTTGGGAAAGTGGACTTGATTTGAGTTGATATGTTATTGTCACATGTACCTAGGTACAGTGAAAAGTTTTGTTTTGCATGCAGTGCAGACAGGTCATACCATACAAAGTACATTAGGGTAATAGAACAGAGCGAAGAATACAATGTTACAGCTGCAGAGATGGTACACATAGAGCAACATCAACTTTAAATTTAAAATTTGAAAGGTCCATTTAGAAATCTAATAACAATCGGCAAGAAGTTGCTCCTGAATCTAATTTGAAGGCTTATGATGACTTTACTCCCGCCCTATTTTCCATGCCAGACCTTCTTTTTATTCACTCACACGATAAGGGCATTGTTGCTGGGCCAGCATTCATTGTCCATCCCTCAATGCCCAGAGGGCAGTTGAGAGTCAGCAACATTGCTGTGAGTCTGGAGCCATATGTAGGCCAAAGCAGGTACGGACAGCTGATTTCCTTCCCAATAGGCTATTTGTGAACCAGATGGATTGTTCCTGACAATTGATTCATGGTCATCGTTAGACTTTTCATTGCAGATTTTTTTTTAATTCAAATTTCATTGCTTGCCATGGTGGGATTTGAATCCGGTTCCCCAAAGCATTGCAGGATCTCTGGATTAATAGTCTGGCAATAATACAACCAGGCCATTGCCTCCTTATTGGATCAATAGGCTGTGAAATGTAAAAATATTGCACAATGTCGGCAAAGCAGGTGAAATGTTGCAAAGCAATACTGACATGTAACAAAGAACATTCTAAATGAAATGCACTGAAATTCTGAAGTCACCATTCTTGCAATAGCAATTTAGAACTTGCAACATTTCATGTCCTCTGTCTTTTTTCAGAAACATACTTTAAGTTACTATCCATGCATTTATCACTGCAAATTCAAATGTAGTCTTACCTTGATTAAAAGCCAAGTTTAAATGTGGCATTTTTACTTAAAATGTATATGAACCCTTGAACTTAAACCAACAGTTCTAAAAGAAACTGAAAACTGTTAAATGGTCTTCAGTTGTAAGTATACTCTGGTTAGACATTGATGTTTTGGTTTAAGGGAAAAGCAGAGTTAGCGCCAAATTTGTTTTAACACATAATTGGCAAATAGGTTTCTTGGAATTCACTTAACTTCAGACAGGAACAGAAGCTCCTTTGATGTAGATTTATTACAGTCATAAAGATCAAGGATCCTGCTACAGAGTGATAGGGAAGATTTCCTATGGAAAAGCTTATTGCAAAGCCATGCTTTCTCAGCCCAGGAAAGCATAAAGGGAAAATATAAGCAGATTGTTCAAATTTTAAGTTTTTTTAAAAGAATGTGTGTTCTGGGATCTAGAATTCATTGTGTGGCTCTTTTTAGTTGCTGTTTGCTGGAAGTGGCACCGACACATGGTATAATCACAGACACAGGCACTGATCCTCTCAGTTGGAATTAGGAATCACAAGAACAAAGCTCAGGTGTTTTCGACAGATTCCTATCAATTTTTATTATGCAACATATACTTTATTTCCAATGTTTGAACACTGTACCATTTCTAATTCCCTCCCACTTGTTACTGTCACCACTTTTTCCACATGCAGTATGGTAGGATATTATTGTTTTTGTCTGGTTTTCTCACCATGTGACAGCAACTAATATTAAAGGCATGGTCATGTTTTATCAAATGCTCAATAAATATATAATGTGTGATTATGAAATAAATCATAACGCCTCTCACCCAGGCTCCTAGGTCTCTGGGCATCATGTGATGTGGGCATCAATCACTGGGCCAGCATTTATTGCGCACCCTAGTTATCTATCAGAAGGTGATGGTAAGCAGTCTTCTTGAACTGCTGCAGTCCATTTACTGTAGCAATGCCCATAATGCTGTCATGAAAGGGAGATCCAAGATTTTGACCCAGTGACACCAAGGGAACAGCGATATATTTCCAAGGTAGGATGGTGAATGATTTTGAGGGGAATTTGCAGGTGGTATTCTCATGTATCTGCTGCCCTTGTCCTTTTCGATGGGAGTAGTCATGAGTTTGGAAGATGATCTCTAAGAAACCTTGGTGAATTTTAGCAGTGCATCTTGTAGTTGGCACACATTGCTGCTACTGAGCGTTGGTGGTGGAGGAAGCAGATGTTTATAGATGTGATGCCCATCAAGTAGTCTGCTTTGTTCTGAATGACATTAAGCTTCTTGAGTGATGTTGGAAATGCACTCTTTCAGGCAAGTTGGAAGTTGTCCATCACTCTCCTGAGTTATGCTTTGTACACATTGGAAAGGTTTTGAAGATTCAGGAGGTGAATTACATACCGCAGGATTCCTGCCTATGACCTGTTGTTATAGCCACTGTATTAATATAGTTAATCCAGTTCAGTTTCTGGTCAATGGTCATCTGCAGGATGTTCACAATAAGGAATGGTAAATCTGTTGAAAATGTCAAGAGTCAATGGTTAGATTCTCTCTTGTTGAAAATGATCATTGCCTGGCAAAGTGTGGCACAAATGTTACATTCTACTTATCATCCTAAGCCTTGATATTATCCAGGTATCAGAGGAATTACCACTGGCATTGAACATTGTTCAATCATCAGTGAACATTTCCACTTCTGACCTTGTGACGGAGCACACCACCAAGAGAAACCCCTGCAGCGCTGTCCTGGAGCTGAGATAACTAACATCCAACAACCACAACCTTCTTCCTTTGCGCCACATATAACTCCAACCAGTGGAGAGTTTCACCTCCAATTCCCAATGACTTAAATTTTGCTAGGGCTCCTTGATGTCAGTCTCGATCAAATATGACCTTAATTCCATGGGCGTCGCTTTTGCCACACCTCTGGAAGTCAGCTTTTTTGTCCATGTTTGAATCAAGTCTATAATGACGTCAGGAGCTGAGTGGCCCTGGTAGAACCCAAACTGGGTATGACTTGAACAGCTTATCAGTCAGCAAATGTTGATTAATAGCACTTTTGATGATAACTTCCATCACTTCACTGATAATCGAGTGTAGGTTGATGAAGAAGTAGTTAGCCAGGTTGGATTTGTCCTCCTTTTTGTGTAAAGAACAAACATGGGCAATTTTCCACACTGTCAGGTGGTTATCAGCAGTGCAGCTATACTGGAACAGCTCGGATCCGGTCACAGCAAGTCCTAAAGCACATGTCTTCATTACTATTGTCGGGATGTTGTCAAGGCCCATAGCCTTTGCAGTATCCAGTGCCTCCAGTTATTTCTTGATATCATTTAAGTGAACTGAATTGAAGACTCACATCTGTGATGCTGGGGACCTCTGTTAGAAGCTGGGATTGATCATCACTTGGTACTCCGGCTGAAGATTGTTGCAAATATTTCATCCTTATCTTTTGCACTGAAGTGCTTGGCTCCCCATCGTTGAGGTGGGGAAACTTGCACAGCCTCCTCCTACTGTAGATGCTGTATATGGCTATGGTCAGACTACGTTTAGAAAATTGTGAGCTGTTTTGAGCCCCATATCTAAGGAACGATTTGCTGGCCTTGGAGGGAGTCCAGAGGAAGTTTACAAGAATGATCCTGGGGATGAAGGAAAGACAGGACATTTCCAGGGAGGTTGATAGTGTTGTCTGGGAATATTGAATGGGAGGTATGACTCATTATGATGATTCAGGCTAATGCATAAGCAGGTTGTGAGATAGTACTCTTAGTTTTGGTGCTAGATGTTGGTCATGGAGGCTTTGCAGGGATGACATAGCTAAGCTTGCCTGTGTCATTTCCAGGTGGTCCATCTGAGGCATTTTAGCAATTACTCCAACAGAGT